TAGACGAGGGCGTGGTGGTATGCTTGAGTGGAAGCTTTCGCAGTGTCAGCCTTCCTCTCCCGCCTGCGGTCTTCTTGACTCTGTTTTGACATCTGGTCCAGGCGGGTGAGGAGAAAAGTGCGGCAGACGCAGAAATGTCTACAATCGCTATAAATGAATTCATGCGCAAGTCACTGTCCCTGTCCACACCCTGCTATGGAGCCTGCGGTGGGAATATTCCTCTGCTCAAACTCCCCATGTGATTACGCAGGTCAGAATGAACGCATCCTCGGATCACGCATACATGGCCCTGAGTCGTCTGTGACGTATTATCATTACTGGCTGCCAGAACTTCAGAAACGGGTCACCGATCTAGCTTTGCAGCCACCAAGACAATTATCCATGCCAAATGACACCGCTCCAACCCCAATAGTATAGATCTGATATACTACCACGCTTTCTCAAGATTATCTCTCTCCAGCCGACCAGGACCTTGCATCATAATAACTCGCGTAGACCTCATCTGGCAGCATGCTTCCCCCCGGTTAACCCACATGGCGCATTCTAACTGTTTGTTTTCTGGTTGCAACAACGTTGTGAAATTGACCGCGTCAAACTGTGCTTACCACCACTTCCCATGATCATGGACTTGTGAATAGCAGTATCATTGCACCTGCAGTTTGAACTCAGCCTCCACCCACTCATGAACTAGCTGACACTAAAATTAGCATTCAATAATGTGTGACCTTGAAAAGCCGCAGCCGCCACCTCCACCGCCTACACTTGACCTTGAACATGGGTTTGTGGGCATGGCTAGCACGTAGGCTCTTCTGCATAGTGAGAGAATGCGCCTTTATTGCCTAAAAGGTGGCTGTGAATTGGAATTCGTTAAATGCCAATTTATTTACCATGCTCTCAGAAGCCAGACAGTAGTATGAAAATAGCGTATAATTCACCAAACTGACAGCACATGTGCCGGCTTAAAGTCCAAACACGTGTTTCCTCGATTTTCTGCCGTTGTGGGACACGCCTGCTAGCGGTTCGGCTCATCAGTGGTTTCCCCCAGCGTTCACCGTGGACTTTCTGGTAGATACTCCGGTTTTGAAATTTAAGCTTTTTAATTTCCTCGGAAATGGAACTGCTCAATCGGAATGAAATCCTATGAGTTTGGTTCGACAGCCACTATGAATATTTAAGATGTTTGTCAGTAGTTTGTAAATATTATGCGGTTACCCCGTTGACGCTGATGGATTTCGTCCAAATGTGTATGTATATCAACCTCTGACCTGGGTCTAAAACTTTTCGTGACAAGAGATTTACTCGAAGTTACCATTTTATTCCGAAGAAGTTGCTCCAACTTGGCGCATTAATTTCTGACGAGATCAAGAAACAGAATTGTTGAAATCGGACTATCTATCAGAAAGCACACGGTGCCTACTTAAGGTATGGTCTGCATACCCCGTAAAGGACTGTGTTTTTTTTGCAGTACTTATCAAAAAAGTTTCCTTTCTGGTAGTGGGGCACTCACCGATCGTTTTTACGCAACGCATTCGTCCCTCTTGTGCCTTAGGGCCTTAGAGCCCAACCAGCAGCCCTACAGCGGTGCATGATATAGGCGGAATGGTATGACCGACAGAGACAAGGGAGACTGGAATGGCCATTTCTGGCTTATTAACTGTCGTCAGCCAGTCATACCCAACCCCGAAGTGTGGAACACCTGGCGCTCGGTCCCGCGGCGGCACAACGGGACGAATGAGTTCTGTTAAAATGATCAGTGAGCGCCCCCCCCTCCCCTACCATTGTATATTCCCCATCGCAACCGACAGGAAAACAAGCCCGTGGTCCAGTGGTTAGAAGCGTGGACTTCTAACTAACAGGTGGCGGGATCGAGCCTCAGGTGTTCAACACTTCGGGGTTGGGTGTGACTGACTGACGACGAGCAATAAGTCAGAAACGGCCACCCCGGTCTCCCTTTTATTTGCCGGTAATACCGCTAGGCTCCACTATGTTTATTCACAGCCCTTTGAGTGACCTTTGAGAGATGTGATTGCATGTCTTCGGAATTTGTGAAGACCTGCATTATTCGCGCAAAGACTGCTGCGGACGTCGACCCATTTTGCAATCGTAGCATTCACAGTCAGTTCTAAATGTCTGCGGCTTGACATATTCACTGATGGCCAGTGTCCGGCTTACTCAAGTGATTATCGGTATCAATTTTATATGAACGTTGAGCAGTTCGCTGTGTTTCACTATAGTAGATTAGATTAAATATCATTCTGCTTCGAATCTAACCCAGAAAGAGGACTCCTGGTTGTCATCAAAATGACTAAAGTGTCTTGTTTTAGGTTAAGAGGATACGATACTTGCAGCATTGGTACTAGCTAAAAACCCCTACACGCGTGTTTCTTCGATATTCTGTCGCTGCAGGTCACAGCTGCGAGGGATTCGGCTCATCAGTGGGTTCCCCGGCATTCTCTGTCCGTTTTCCGATTGATACTCAAATTTAGAAATTGTTGTTTTTTAATTTCCTGAGAAATTAACTGCGAACTTGGAGTAGATCAGTATAGTCCATGGTCTATAGACCTATAGGTCTTTTTTTATAGACGAAGCTGTTAAAACGGATTCTTCGAGTCTTGTAAGTAAATGAATACTTATATTAAATATCCACAAAAGGGACATCTTGCTGTCATCAAGATGACCATGTCTCACCATGTCTCTTCTGTTTTCGCTTGGAGGTGTAGTTTAGGAGTACGGGCCATCACTCTCTTAACTTTAAAACATTGTTAAGGTTACTGCGGCCATACACATACTCCGGCTGCTACAGCATTCAAGGGAGCATCAGGCTGTTTTGCAAACGAAGCCTATAAAACCGGGTTCTTCGAGTTTTGTACGAAAATGAACTCACCACCCA